AATTATATATTATATAATTATACAAATTAGATACATATCAAGTTCTACAGTACTCGATCCAATGCATCAAAAGCCAGATGAAAGTGACTAATATTCAGCCAACGGCGCGCATTCCACCGAGGCTCCAAGTAAAAATTGCAACAACAAATTGTTACGCTCCGAAAAAAAGGAAAACAGCAAACGGTATCTGTACTCCGTTCGCCCGCGATTCCGCGATGCAAGACATTTTTTCCACCTCGGGCATCGTATTTTCGTCGTTCGGCCTATCGAGCACCGCGCGACAACGAGGGTGCACCCTCTCGAAAACAATAGCTGGTATTCCAAGCTGGCGCGGAGAGTTTTGATCGAGGCGGCACCCCATGGGCAACCGGGATCCCTCGTATTTGTATCTCGCGCAGCAACGTCAGCCGTGCAACGTGCACGTCCGTACAGAAGTTAGACTTCGATCTTCGCGTTCGGAAGTGCTCGGGGCTTTGTCTACGCACGCGGCACGTTCCGTTCTCCGTCTTTCTCTTTGTACTCGCGGTGAGTCAAGCGCTGTGCTCGCCGGTGCTCGTGCACCCGTCCGGTACACGTGCACCGAACAACCGCGAGAGAACCTGGTGCTAGAGTATCGACCCGCGGCATGTGGTAACTCATTCTCCTTTCTCCATCGGCGTGTCTCACTTTAGCTTCCTAGGTCGAGCATGCGATCCTCTCCCCGTCCCCTTTCCGCCAAAGTGGCGCTCCTCTCCTCTCCTCACTCTCTCTCTCTCTCTCTCTCTCTCTCTCTCTCTGTCTCTCTCTCTCTGTCTCCCTCTCTCTTTCTCTCTCCCTCTCTCTCTCTCTCTCTGTCTGTCTCCCTCTCTCTCTCTCTCTGTCTGTCTGTCTCTCTCTCTCTCTGTCTGTCTCTCTCTCTCTCTCTCTCTCCCTCTCTCTCTCTCTCTCTCTTCACGATCGTCCCTTCTCCTTCGTTCGCCAACGGGACCGGAATACACGGAGGTCGAAACTTGCAGCGACGTCCACGGGAATCTCGACCTAACGCCCGAGCCACACCGTTGAACATGCGCGAGGATCCACAGTGACGTGCCAAACGAGTCGACACCCCCGCGACGAACAATTCCGACGGTCCCGAGCGGGCTCCGGACGCGGATTCGGGGGTTAGCCGACCGGCGACCTTTGCGATGCGAGTCGCGTCGTGTGCACTGTCTATTTATTTATTTATTTATCCATTCATTCATTTATTTATTTATTCATTCATTTATTCATTTATTTATTTATCCATTTATTCATTCATCCATTTATTTATTTATTTATTTATTCATTCATTCATTCGTCTATTTATTCATTCATCCATTTATTTATTTATTTAATATATACAGAAAAAATTACCCATTAGTTACAAAATTACAAATAAAGTAACCGCAATTCCTTAACGCAAAATCGGCCATCGCGGTAAAAATGACCCGTACTTTTTACTTTTAAATTGTCAACATCGCGAAGAGCCTTTCTTTTAAGAAGACGGTCGAATAAACTCCCACGCACCAGCTTACATCAGAACAAAAATGACGAAAAACCGAAATAAATTCAGTCTCTCATTATTCTTAAAGTTGAACTAATTACGATAGATCTGCTACAATGTCGCGATACCGTCGCAAACCGGCTTAAAATTCCGTTCAAACAAGAAATGACGATCGAAGAGAGGAATTCCCGAAAAAGAACCGACAGAACAGCGCGCACTATCCAAAACCAAATAAAACACGCTCGTGCGGAGTTGTCCAAGAATTTAACCGAACAGGACGAAGTTCTCTGCATCTGGAAACCGCGAAGGAAACGATCTGTCCTGGCGAAGACGAACGGTATCATTACCACGGTGTAATAACAGCGGCGAAACGTCGGAGTCATCGGCATCCTGTCCCCGCGAATTTCGATTTTACGTAAGCCGCTTCCGGTCTGCCGCTTACCGATCCCAGTTGCCGATCCAGCGAATTCCGCGACCAGCAAATAAATCGTCCGGAGATCTATCTCGCCGCGGACATCGCGGCGCGAAATCGGAGCAACTCGAAAAGAGAAAAGAAAAGAGAAAAGAGAAAGAGAAAAGAGAAGTTCGAAGAACCGAAGAGACGAGTTCGGCGAAGAGTCGAGGACGATCGGTAGGCGAGCAGCTGTTGCCTGAGTCACCGTGAACGAAGAAAGGCTCGCGAGGAGAAGCCGCGCGCGGAGTGGGGCCCTCGTTATCGCGTCCGTCCCTGGGTTTCGAGTCGGAGCAGCTCCGTTCATTTGGTTGGTAGAGGCGGACGGTGGTGCATAGCGCGACAGCTGATTTCGAGGAGTGTTGCGTCGACCGATCGTTTCTCTGGTCTGTCAGTCGCAGTTCGCACGGCGGATCGGTTGGCCGCGTCGCGGTTCGATCTTCTCTCCCATCGAGCGCGAGAGAGCACCCATACGCGTTACGTGGGCAGAGATCGCGGGACTAGTTCGCGGCTAGACAAAGAGAACAAGCGAGAGAGAGAGAAAGAGAGAGGTCCGCGGATCCCGTCGACGACCCTCGGGAACGAATGCTGCCCCTTGATTCCGCGAACGGCTCATCGATCGTCGTGAAAACGAAGGCGAGGATTAAGCAGCGGTCGTAACGATTTCTGCACGGGGAACCGTACGGACCGCGAGACGTTGCGTTTCTACTTTTGTTGTGCGGGCACCGTGCGAGACCGATTCCAATCGAGGACACGGGGGACATTGTGCGTGCCGTCGTGCCAGCGAGTCCGGGGCGTATAACCGGAGGATGTACAGCGTCATCCTTGGGGCATGAGTCCGGACGCTGATAGATTACCGAAGTCTACGATCGACCTATGGTGAGTGAGCCGCGACGGGCAAGCCCCGTGAACAGCGAACAGCGACCTAGAGAGCTCCCATCTGGAGGGTTGATCGCGTTTTCCTTTGTCTCCCCGGCCGCTCTGGCCGCGACCTATCCTTCGCTCTCCCGCAGGCCCGAGGTGCCTCGAGGACGCAGTCCGCACACGCGACCGAGAACCAGAACCGTCTTCGGAACTATTTATAATGTTGCGCGTCGAGGAACGTGCTCGAGGAATCGTTTTGTTTACATATTACACGATGACCTAGTTACTTTGTCCGCCGCCGTGCTTTTCGTCGCTTTTCCGCCACGGAGCGCGACTAACACCACTTCGCTGTACCCGTCGTCTTCGTCCTCGTCGGGGATTTCCATCGCGACGACATCGGCGAGCCAATAATCCAACGTACACGCACCCTGACGCGAATCATTGATTCACCGTGCACCCCCGGCAACGTCGTCGCCGATCGGCGGACCGTTTCGGGGCGAGAGGAATAATTTTATTTTATTTTATTTGATTTTATCTTATTTTATTTTATTCGTTTATATACGCGGCGTGTGGCTGGAAACCCTAATTTTTACGACACAGAACTGGAAACTATTGTCAACGTGACACAGAATCCGCGAGTCGCGAATTTTGCGATATCGGCTGCGAACGGCGTCAGTTTCGTCGAGCTGTTCTCGTCGACAGTTCGGAGCGTGAAAAAGGGACTTGGCACCCGGCGGGTCGCAACGGCAAAAAAGGCTGGCGAGTTCGCCGTAAACGCGGCCGACATACGGACGCGCGGGGAGATTGGGTCGCCGAAACTCGGATGCCATAGAACGAAGTAAACGAGATAAAAGCCCGCGGTTATTTCGGCGGATCGATGCCCTTACGAGACACGTCTCTGTCCCGTGGCGTGGCCGTTCCCCGCACGTGCCCGGCCGAGTCCCGATTATGTACTCTCGATTCGGAATCGCCGGCCGCGGATTCGACGATCGCGTCGATCCTCGCCGCGTGGAACCGCGGGGACGGACGGGGCCGTTCACCCGCCCGCCCCGGGCCCCGATGCGTAAGCATTTACTGGCATAATGCGTCTACGAGTTTGTTGGCCGGCCGACAAAAATATCGAGCCCGATCCTTGACCGTCCAAACGCGGCGTTCGCGGCCAATCGCGGCGCAGATCGATATAGCTGCGAACGATAGCGCGGCGAGATTTACACGCGGCCCGCTTGCTCGCTCAGCTGTGGATCCATCGATCCGTCGGATCGCTCTTCTTTGTTCCGATGCTATGACTCGATCTGGCCGGACGTCGATCGAGACGTTATCGCGCGCGATTACGGCTGCTCTCGTTGCTCGTCGTTGGACCGGACGTCTCTGATTTTCAGCCGCGAATTACATTCTCGTTCGTTAATTATATTCTGCCGAAAATGGTCCGGAGTTGTCTTTCGGAGTACGACAAGTTTCTCCGAATTTCTCCTCGGCTTTTGAACAAATGTGGACAGTTTGGCAAGAGGATTATTCGAGTCTCGCGGCTTGACTTTGTAGCTGTCGGTTGTCGACGATTGTAAAAAACGAAGCGGAGGCTCCTCTTCTCTAACTGCTCAGTTTCGTTTGTATGCCGGGGGAAAATTAGGGAGAATTCTCTCACTGCAATTCGTCGCGAGAACGGAATCTTTAGCAGTCTGCTTGTCAGAGTACGGTAATGTCTCTCTAATTGACGCTCAGATTGTTCACAAAAATGGGCAATTTAGGAAGAGGAGATACGATTATTCGATCCTCGCGGTTCATTTTTATAGTTACGAATTGTCAACAACTATAAAAACGAGCTGCAAGGCTCGAATAATCGTATCTCCTCTTCTCAAATTGTCCATTTTTTTGCGCAATCTGAGCGTCAGTTAGGGAGACATTACTGTATTACGAACAGTTGTGGAACGGAAGCTTCGAAATTAGCAATCCTTCGTTAGAGTTTAGTCAATCAGTTGTTGCAATCTATTCGAAAAGTGTTCAAATTACTATAATTATTCGACTGCGGATTTTATGCATTTACAGCAAAAATAAATAGATAAAGCATGAGTTGGTGAGAGGATTAAAAGCAGCTAGAAATGTTGATCGATCAATTCCAACTTACTGAAATTGTTTAAGAAAATCTTAGCCCCTATTCTTGCAATTGATGCAGGCGATTTTTAATTTGTATAAAGTGGTCTGGTCATTATACCGTATACGTTTGATTTTCTCTATATTCTGTTTAAACTCAATCCTTTGTAAAAGGAACAACTTAATCAAGAATATCAAAATATATCAAAAAATATATCAAAGTACAATAATGTCTCCCTAACTGACGCTCAGATTGTGCACAAAAATGGACAATTTGGGAAGAGTAGATACGATTATTCGAGCCCTGTAGCTCGTTTTCTATAGTTGTTGACAATTCGTAATTATAAAAACGAACCGCAAGGCTCGAATAATCGTACCTCCTTTTCCCAAATTGTCCAGTTTTGTGAACAATCTGAGCGTCAATTAGAGAAACATTACTGTGCATATATCCTTTCGAAGCAGTCAGCTGTTTTCGACGAGCACAGTCGTCGCGAAGGATAGAATAAAGAAGAAGAATTGCAATATTATGCGCCGTCACGAGCTTATTCGTCGAAGGCAACTGGGAACAACTAACGAACGGAAAGTAAACGCTGTAAATTGTAAGGCACAACCGAGTTCCAAGCTAAAATAGCCTGGAGTGCATAGGGTTACCAATCATCCGATTCATCATCGACTGACTCAACGTTCCGAGTAAACCGCGGAAAAATTGAGAGAAGCCTCGCGATCCTCGCGTTTCTCGCGCTCTGCGCAACAGACCGCTGCTTTGCGCGAAATATTCGCGCAAAGAGAAGGTAACAAATGCAGCAACAATGATTCGCCGATTATGCCCGAAAGTATCAATGAGAGAGACGCGCTCGGAGTACATATGAATTCGCGATCGCGAGCTACGTGCGCGGAGGCTGGCTTCGGCACGTGTTCGGGCACGGCTCGATCTTTCGCGGAGGATCTTTCGCCTCCGATCCGTTCCTCGAAATCCCCGCGTTCGCGAACGGTTCGAAACGGCCGCGCCACCCTCTTTCGCGAAGGGTGCAAGCTGGAACGTTCCCGCCTCGGTGAATCCGCGGCGACGGAGAGCCGCATCGATCGCGAATCCGCGGGGACGGAGAGCCGCATCGATCGCGAATCCGCGGAGAGATCGCCGACGATCGCGTGCATCGCGGATACCACGTTTATCTATTTCGGAATGACGGACGTCATTCCCCGAGACGAGATTTCCATAATAGGGATTACATCGTGTTGTTGGCCGTCGAATCTTTCGCAGTCTGTTTTGCAACAATGTTGCCGTCGGATTTGTGCATCGATCATACCTTATCATATCTCGAATATACTTTGTACTGCTGTAACCCGGAGACGCCCGATAACGGGTCTGTCGATCGAAATTCTTCGTAGATTTTCAGTTACGTTAATTTAATTTAATTTAGTTTATTTATATATATATGTACGGGCGAAATGCAATTTTTTTTACGATACAGAAGTGGAAGCTGACGTGACGCTCCCACACTTAAGCGATCGATCAACTATATATATATTTATATTAATCAATCTTTATTTAATAGTGAATTTTTAATAATCAATATTTAATACGCATATTTTATATACATACATATCGTCTATATATAAAAATATTGCAACAGCCAAGAATTTCTTGGCAAATTGTTACGCTGATACCTGAAGAACAATTAAATAAATTATAACTAAGAATAATAATAATAATAATAGTAAATTTTTATAATATTAATATTAAAAAGTTTCTTGGTGTTTATCTAATATTAATATCAATATTAATATTAATATTAAAATGTGTTTCTTGGTGTTTATCAATATTAATATTAATATTAGGTAAATACCGATTAATATCAATATTAACATTAATATTAGATAAACACTGATTAATATCAATATTAATATTAATATTAGATAAACACCAATTAATATCAATATTAATATTAATATTAGATAAACACCGATTAATATCAATATTAATATTAATATTAGATAAACACCGATTAATATCAATATTAATATTAATATTAGATAAACACCAAAAAATTTGGCTCGATACGGTTTCTAAGGTACAGAATCCCTTNATTAATATCAATATTAATATTAATATTAGATAAACACCGATTAATATCAATATTAATATTAATATTAGATAAACACCGATTAATATCAATATTAATATTAATATTAGATAAACACCGATTAATATTAATATTAATATTAGATAAATACCTATTAATAACAATATTAATATTAATATTAGATAAATACCTATTAATATCAATATTAATATTAATATTAGATAAACACCAAAAAATTTGGCTCGATACGGTTTCTAAGGTACAGAATCCCTTTCCTGGCTGCCGGCCAATTTTTCTCCCCTATCATGCTCTGTTATCACCGAGTCAGATTAGGCGGACGTTGCCGCGTCCATCGAGGATCGCCGCGATAAAGCAGAGAAAGTTTTCGCGACGACGGACCTCCGTGGAAGTTGCTGGTGGACGAGCGGTTTTTCGCGAGCTAATCGTTTCGATATCTCGGATCGGTTGCTATGTCGTGGCACATCGCCGGTGCTCGACGAGAGATAATCGGTAATACATTTAGTAAAAACAGAGATCGACAGATAAACGTGTAATCGAACTATTTCCCGCTTGTTTCGCCGATAACGCTCCTTCGACGAGACCATTATTAATGTCCAACGTGTCTAATCGGTCGCGATCTCGAATAACTCGTGTGTCGCAGATAATGCCGAAATGATTTCCAAAAATATTCTCCCGATCGGTGTGGCAGTGTCTACGACATCGCTCGACGATCCACTCGGCCCGACAGAGATCATGCTAGCACTTTTATCCCAAGTGAACACGCTGAGCTGCGTCAGTTAAATTCAATTTTTTATTTTAACACTTTTGTTAGCAAAATCTTATTGTTTTTGTTTTGAAGCTATTAAATATTTTTGGGAAGTGGATTTGTTCGAATTGCTTGTTCAAAAGCTTGATCTGCGACCCGCGAATAGTGTGTTAGTGTGTGTTTGCATTATAATGACTCTTTTTAGACGAGTCGATGTAATTAATTTAATTTATTTTATTCAGTTTAATGTATTTAATTTATTTTATTCAATTTAATTTATTCAATTCATTTAATTCAATTTAATTTTATTCAGTTTATTCAATTTGATTTTATTTATTAAACTTCATTTAACTTTATTTATTGAACTTAATTTGACTTAATTTAATTTAATTTATTTAACTTAATTTGACTTAATTTAATTTAATTTCTTCAACTTAATTTAATTTAAATTAATTAACCTAATTAATTCATATATACGGGCAAAAATCTATTTTTTTACAATACAGAACTAGAAGCTGATATTAACATAATGAACGGTTTCTGTAAACTCGTCCGGAAACATTCGAATCGATTAATTATTCCAAGCGGGTCGGAACAAAAACGGCCGAAAAATGTCTGAATAAATTGAATTCCCTCGTTGTCCTAGTATAACAAAGCTCGGTCGCGTTTAGCGGTCGGTAGGCACAGCGTTAATGCGGCGCAATAACGCCGGGAACGCCGCAACGGAGCCAGAAAAAAAGGAGAAAGTTCTTTGTCGACGAACTCGTTTTGACAGCTCCGGAGACCTTGCTTTTAAACGCACGTGATTCATCGACGCTGTCCCCCTCGCGAGATACTAAAAGGCATCCCCCTCCGCCTCTCCCCCAGATGAAATCCCGATCACCCTTCACGGGAACGGCCGACGACGTTCGTTTCGTGGATTGGAATTCAAAGCTTGGAAATCCGTTCGGACGAGGAACTTTTTCTCGCCGAGAAAATCCGTGAACGTGAATCGATCGGAAAGCGAAATCCGGTCTCGGGCGCGGATAAACCAATCGGAGCGCGCTAGCTCGGCCGCGAATTCTAATTAGCCGTGTGTGTTATCGGTTCCAGCATCAGCAGATGATGGCGGATCTGAAGAATCTCACTCTGTGCGATGGAGGAGGGTCCAGGTACAGCGGCGACGAGCAGGTACAGTTTATACCTGGCGGCAGCCACCAGGTGACAATTAAATCGCCGCCGGCTTCGCTCCACCTGGAGAACCTCAACAATGCGGTCCTCAGGTAAGCACGAGTCACGGCCCCACCGAAAGCGGTTCTGTATGAGCGAAATCATTTTTGTCGTTAGCAGACTGCGGATTTTTATGCGTTCGCGACGAGAACTCGTTGATGCAAATGCAATACTGTGATCGAATGCAAAACTCCCTTTATATAGGGATATTTATACAGAGAGTCCCAAAATTATGGTATTTTCGAGAAACGAGGGATTCCTGAGATGATTTGAAGCAACTTTTTCCTTTACAAAAATTTTCTCCGAGGCTTCGTTAACGAATTATTCATAAAAAATACTGACCAATGAGGAGCGAGTTCGCTCGCCGCTAGGCGAACGGGCCAATCAGCGGAACCGAGCTCCGTGCGCTCGTTGGCTCGGCCGCCGCGCGCCGGTCAAGCTCGCCTCTCATTGGTCACGGTTTTTCGTTAATAACTCGTAAACGAAGCCGCGGATTGCAATTTCGCTAAGGAAAAAGTTACTTCCAATAGTCTCAGGAACCTTTCATTTCCTGGAAGTACCATAATTTTGGGATAGCCCTTATATTTGTGTAAGAATATTATTACATTGCTTTCGACTTATTATAGTTATTAAACGAGGAACGACATCTTCATCTTGCTTACGTTTCTCGCAATTAACCTAGACAATTTTTATTTTGTATAAAGATCCGCGGTTTAGTCGTTACATTTCACTTCACGCGAATATGTATATAGTAATCGTTTTAATTATTTAACTATTCAATTGTTTAAATTATTATTTACTATTTAATTCATTTAAATATTTCATTATTTCACTGTTTTAAGTAAATATTTGGCAGAGACGTGACTGTCACGTGGTGGCTGTCAGGAAGCGACTGATTTATATTGTACTTGCATCAATGTGCGAAAATCTACATGAATAAAAGATGTGCAGATTTGTACGTATTACGATTATTTATTTACATATCTGCAGATATTTTATAGCATAGCAAGTTTCGATACGTAGAAATGTAAGTGCAACGTAGATCAGTCATTTCTTGAGAAGTCATTTTTGATTAGCCATTGCAATGTTTATTATACGTGTCTTTTGAATGTATTATAATTATACATATTTATGTGAAGTATATATAATAAACAATGTAACTATAACTATATGAATACGAACATATACGAAGCGATTTTAATTTTATCGAGTTTCCGATTCTTCAAAACTTTCAGTTTGTCATGTTTAAAACTGTATTCTAACAATATTATAATCAGCCCGCGGATCTTTATGCGTGTATGACAAATATGTACAAATGCAATTTGGAAGAATAAATTCTAAATAAGAACGGCGATCATTTTCAGCCGATTAAAATGAAGGAAAAAACAGATCTCTATTTGATTCCCGTTTCTTGCAATTGGGGCAAACAATTTTTATCTTGCATAAAGATCCGCAGTCCGATTATAATTATACCGTAATTATGTTCTTTGCTATTATACGCTTACATAAATTCAATATACGCGGTCACATAAATATATAATTACGATACACGTACGCACATTGCAAAACGCATACGAGCATTCGCGTCGAGAAAAATACGCGACAAAAGTAATTCCGCTCGTCTGGAATCTCTCGTTTTGCAATCAATTTTACCACCGTGTCACGTCCAATGGCGTCTATTAGTAGCGTGGTCGGAACGGCCTGAGAAAGAAAATTTGAAAGTTAATGCCTAAACGGATGCGCAGCCCGATAACGCGCGCGTTCCTTGTTCTATTAATCTATTTATACTTTGCATATCACTGCGCAGTGTCCAAACGATTGTCGCTCGGCGGTGCGACGATAAAGAATCGCGACCGTCAACAGTTTTTCGGAATTGCCGGAGATAGGTACGGGCTGTGAGTCACAAACATTTGCATTGCAAGCGATTCCAGCGCGAGACCTCGATCCGGAAAAACATACTGTTCTCGCATCTGTCGCGTTTCTCCTCGGCGCAACAGCCGGCTCGAATTTCTCATTATTCGAACGTCGAATTCACGAAGTCTCGTTTAATCCTCGAACGGCGATTTTCGCAGCTGCAGCATCGACGGTGTCCCTAAAAAATTCTGAACTTCGTCCGGCAGATTTTCCGGAACAGATTTTCAAAGATATTTCTCGCAGTCTTATCAGCCGCTTTCCTTTGTTCACAACGCGACGGCAATTCGTTTGACGCATTTACGACAAGAAGTAGATCAAACATAGAGCGGTGGTAACGCTCGGAGAATTTACAGATGCTATCGTATTATTTCCAACCGGATAAAGTCGTTAAAAAATAGCAGAAACGACTATGCGGCTTCTGCGTTTTGCGATCAACGCGGAGGATTTTTATTTCGCATAAAAATCGGAGGTCTATTAATTCCGCGAAAATTGGGCAATCGAGCGAACGATTTAACGCATCAAGTGTCGAACGTCAACTCGAGAAATTCATAAATTCAATATCAAAGTCATTTAATTGATGACACTGAAACTGGAAACTGAAAATTTAGCATGGGAAATATTGATTTAACTATCTTGCATTCTGCAAATCCTAGTTACATTCCATTATCAATATATTAATATATTAAATATAATAATAATAATATATATTAAATTCTATTTAATAATATATTAAATTTTTTTCAATAATATATTAAATTTTATTCAATAATATATTAAATTCTATTCAATAATATATTAAATTTTATTCAATAATATATTAAATTCTATTCAATAATATATTAAATTTTATTCAATAATATATTAAATTCTATTCAATAATATATTAAATTTTATTCAATAATATATTAAATTCTATTCAATAATATATTAAATTTTATTCAATAATATATTAAATTCTATTCAATAATATATTAAATTCTATTTAATAACATATTAAATTCTATTTAATAACATATTATATAAATCAATATATTAAATCGATATATTAAATTAGCGCCACCCATAGGTGACTCGCGCGGCACCGAACGATTTAAATGGCCCGGATCGAAATTGACCCAGTCACCGCGGGGGTGGACCAGACGGCTCGGCAATGGCGCGACTATCGCATTGGATTCGAGTTGAATCGAATCCTGGCGCATCGTTCCTGTCCTAATCTCTCGCAGCTGTTCCTCGGAACACCTGGTTCTAGCTATGTCCCGCATTGTGTTAGCCAGTTTATCGACGTTTAACTCCCCGGAGCACCTCGACGGAGAGTACGAACACCCGAATCGGCTCGCAAATATCCCCGTATATCAAACAGGTTCGCGATAAGGCGGTCGAATAAAATGCTATCTCTCGGCGGCGAAGCTGCGGCGCCGTGCAACTTCTGTTAAACGTTCGCCGCGACGCACGGTATCTCGACGGCATCCGTCTCCATGAAACTGTCCGAAAGGCGCATTCATAGTTCCGTCGGGCAGATGCTCTCCGGCCGATTGAATCTCGGCGCGATAGACGCGGCATTTTGCATCGTAAACGCGAGCAGAATCGCAACCGTCCCATCCACGAGGTTCCTCGTGAACCTCGGATTGGATGGCCCGTTGCTTCGCGGCGTTCCGATTGAAAAGACACTCCCGAAGAGTGCCTGGATAACGGCAGCCGGCTCCGAAAATTCGCCGTTTACCTGGCAATGCCGAGGGAATTGCGCTCGCGGACAGAGCGCGCGGCGATCCCGAGCGTAGGATTTTTCCGCGCGGCTCGTCCCTTCTTCGCGAGGTCCGCGGCGCAATCAAGTCGTCGATTGACTGTGGATCTCTCTCGGCTGCATTCGTGACCTTTGCTTTCTCGCGCCGCAGCAGCCGTACCAGAAATTCTGTTCGGCGTTTGATCGCGCGAACAATGAATGGAGGCGGCCGGCGGCCGGTCATCGAGTCGGCACACGAACTATAACCGCCCGCCGAATGTACGTACGTCTCTCAAAACGGCGCCCAAGGTCGTTTGATCGCGCCATTGATCACGTTAAAGCGTACGCTTTTTTTCGCCTATTTTTCTTTTCGCGGTTTCCTTGTCGCGTTAAGGAACGCGGAACGCGCGCGTTTATTGTCCGTCGCGAGACAAAGGCGCCGATAGCTCTCGGCCGAGCGCATTGTATACACACGCCTTATCGAGAACTCCAGATTTCGTTTTTCGCAGGTGGCCGCTGCACCTGTTCGCAATTCGAACGATTCCGCGAAACAAACTGCGACGCGTGCATCGATTCGCCGTATTTTTTTCTTCTTTTTTTCAATCGATATCTGTCCGTTTTTGTCTGCGAAATTTCCTTTCAAAACGTTCCAATATCCTTGGACTTTTCGTTCAATGAAACGTTTCTTATCGATTTTATTATCGCAATTTATTGTCGTAGAAACTTTTGTTCGAGCAAATTTCTCTATAAAATGTTTACTCAACGAATTTCTCGAGATGGTACTTATTAATTATGTGATTACATTTCGCAACCAAAAATTCTGCTTGATCTACCATTAAAATTCAGTCTTTCGAACGCACGTTTACGTGATCGGGGGTAGTTTACCCCCGCGATAAGGGTGGCCGAGAAGAATCGACAATGCCAGAAACCCAGATTTGTCACAAATCAAATTTATATCAGCTTTGATAATCATTTTCGAGCCAATTTTTAGCCATCTTCCGCGTTTCGTCCAATAAACTTCGAGGGTTGCTTTCACCCCCTAACTATAAAAACGGGTCAATATGAAAAGTCACGCGTCTTGTATTTTTTAAGACACCTAAAAGAAGGATATTTTCTGCTCAGAAATCATTTCCACGCCCGGGGGAGAATTTTCCACCCTCCCGCCCCTAAATCGCGAAATTCGACCATAGTGAATGGAGGCGGATCGAGCTCGTAACAAAAGTCACTCGTTCCGGCTTAGCAATTTAATCCCATCGTTCACGAACGTATTGATCATTCCTCGTCTTAGCTGAAACCTTTAAAAAGCAAGTTTCAATGAGGGGATTATATTACGCGTGTCAAGCCGCGTACGATTGGCCAACCAGGAAGCGAGGCTTCCGCGGTTCGCTTTTAACGCCGACGCGCAAGAACGGTCGACGAAAAACGAGCAATCCCGGGCTCCCTTGATTTTCGATGACATATATTATCGCGCGTCCTATGCGGCTACATCTGTGTGACACGAGCAAATTTCACCGTTCGCCAAGGTCCACGTGAACGCTTTTACCGCTCGAACTTTTGCCACCGCTATCGATCCCACGCAGTGGGGCACGTCATGCCGTCCATAAGTGTCCTAGCAATTTCAAATGAATAGCTGAATGAATGTAGGATCGATCCCTCGGTTATACTTATATTTTTATAGGAGCATCGGTTCGTTACCGCGAAACCGGCTACTAGTCTTACTTGACCACTTTTCTGTCTTGTTCGACCATGTTGGCCTAACTTTTCTCTACAGTGCACACATTGCGGTTTCCAATCGCGCCATTTTCATTCTATGTTCCCCCCCAAGACGAATTCAATGTCAACGAATACTGCACTATAAATTAGTTCTCTTATAGATCCGATTCGTTTTTGCACTCCTGAATCCTTTCGTAGATCGTATTCTCCTTGTTGCACAGCAAATTACAGCAATTTCTCTCTAATTCGCGCTCGGATTGCGCAGAGGAATGGACAATTTGGGGAGAGGAGATGCGATTATCCGAGCCTTGCGTCTCGTTTTTATAGTTGTTGACAATCGGTAACTATGAAATAATGTTTCAATTAAAATAATCGTATCCCCGTTCTTAAATTAAGCTAAATGAATAAAATAGTAATTAAATTTAATTACTGTAATCCTTTCGTGCGTCGCATTCATCATGTTGCACTCCAAAGTACAGTAAATTCTCCCCAAAATTGTCTCTCAGCTTGTAGTTGAAAATGGATAACTTGAAATGAGAGGTTATGTTACTGACAATTATAAAAACGAGCCGCAAGGCTCGAAAAATCCCCACTTCTTAAATTGTCCATTTTCATCTACAAGCTGGAGGACAATCGGGGAGAATTTACTGCAATTCTTTGCAGAGCATATTCACCTGGTTGCACTCGAAATTAATTCTTTCGTAGATCGTATCTACCTCGTTGCACTCCAAATTAATTCTTTCGTAGATCGTGATCGTCTTGTTGCAAATCAAATTAGCGCTTTCGCAGGTTTCATTCACCTTTCAGCAAACGAGATTCACATATTTGTGTGTGCATCTCTGATAAAATTCATATTCAATTTACAAATTGAATTTTGTTTAACAAATAGATTAATAAATGTATTATGTATATATAATATATAATATAAATATTTATGTATAAATATAGTATTATAATAGTATTATTATAGTAGTATTAAATGTATATACATATATAGTACTATTATAGTAGCATTTCTTATAAAATTGATATTCAATTCAGAAATCGAATATCATTTTACAAATAGATTAATAAATGTATTATGCATATATAACATATAATATAGACATTTATATATGAATATAGTATGCACAAGTTATTAGTATAATTTATTGTAATTTATAGTATACTATAAATGTAATATGCATAAGTGCATACCGTTTATGCATTTATTCCAAAAATCAGTAAACAATATTTAAAACGTAAGAAAAATTCGAGAAATTAAACATTGTTTACGTATTATTTTCGACTTACTAAATTGATGAAAAATTGAAAATTCTTATTTCGTAAAAAGATCCGCGGTCGAATAACAACATATGATTTTATACGAATAGCTACATAAATTCATATCTTGAAAAATTATTCTCAAAATAAAACACGGCCAATTTTAATCTACGAGAGAGTTAATTTTTTCGCAAACAGATGAATATAATTTGCAAACCAATGAAGATATCCGAAAGGATTAATTTAGAATGCAAAGAAATGAACATGATCCACGAAAGAATTAATTTTGAGTGCGAAACAAACATGTATCGCAAAACTATAAACCTTGATAAAAAAAATATGAACGCCTGCGAAAACATTTGCATAGAATTACGTGCAACCGTGCTGCAGATCTTTGCGCAAAGTGCAAGCTACCCTCGTTCGTTGCCAAGAATGTACGTCGAAACGGCGCCGCTTTACAGCGATCTAAAAAATTGAAAATATCGCGAAAACATCGCGATTCTGTTACAACGTCCCGTAGCGGGATCTTCGCCGCGCATTTCCCCGCGTCGGTCCCCGGAGAAACGGCACCGCGTAAATAGCGGGCATACGCGAGCATGCTCGCGCGGCTCGCAAAGCGAGCTGCAGCTTTATTAGCTCCATTTAAACGCGGAGCCGCTGCGAAACGGGAGCCGGCGATCCTTCAATTTGTGGAACCAGTCTCAGCCGGTCGTCGTTCCGCGAGATTCCGCTCGCGAATCCCTCTCGGCTAGCATCCTCGGCGCCCGTCCCTTTGTCTCCACCGCGCGCGGCGGATTCGTCGCCGACGCACCGATTCGCCGCATGCATTGATGCACGCACGATTTCTGTTCGCAGCGCGCCGCAGAACAATCTCCACTGCAACTGCAACGGGAACGCGTCGAACGGCGCCGCGGTCGCGATGTGCAGCAACAGCATGCTGGTGAGAAAGGTGCCGAACCATAGTCCGGGCCAGGACGGCAAGAGGCCGGCTGTCACGCTGTCCCACCTACCGAAGAGGCCACCGGTTGACATTGAGTTCAAGGATCTGGAGTACAGCGTGTCCGAAGGCAGGAAGAGAGGTTGGTCGCGACAGATCACGTTCACACCTTGAGAGATCGAGGCGTGATCGACCTCGGTGAACGAGCTTGCTAGGCGTCGCGTACCCGCCGGCAAGGACGCCGGGATCGAAACGATACAGGTGCACCAGGTTCTCGCGATTTTTCGCTGATCGCACAGTGGAGAACGATTTTCGGCGACATTGTCCGAGGCTACGTTGAGTGGACACCATTTAAAACGGTACAACTTTCTTCGGACTGGTCCGAATGGCTTGAGATTGTTTTTTAGATGATAGACTAATGATGATGGAATAACCTACTGGACTAATCTACTTTCTTTTTCATTTTGATAGTACTTCACTCACATTTTTTTAACTTTCTTATACGAACTGATAATACAAATTTATTTAATTCTGTAAGCTGATATTAATTATTTACTGTTAATATTAATTATAAATTGTATAAATTACATAGATTGTATAAATTACATAGATTGTATAAATTATATAAATTATATAAATTGTATAAATTGTACGAATTATATAAATTGTACAAATTGTATAAATTATACAAATTATACAAATTACACAAATTATACAACTTATACAACTTATACAAATTATACAACTTATACAACTTATACAAATTGCACAAATTATTCAAATTATACAAATTATACAAATTGTACAAATTGTACAAATTGCACAAATTATTCAAATTATACAAATTGTACAAATTGTACAAATTGCACAAATTATTCAAATTATACAAATTGTACAAATTGTACAAATTGCACAAATTATTCAAATTATACAAATTGTACAAATTGTACAAATTGCACAAATTATTCAAATTATACAAATTATACAAATTACACAAATAATATAAATTAATCATCACTATTAATTAATTAATATTCTATAAATTAATAAGTTTTATAGATCCACCGACTTCGATGAAATATTCATCACGCATCGCAGCTTATCAAGCTCTACAAAACTGTCTCTTTAAATTTTCGTTACAGGTTCAGATCCAATTCAAGTCATTTAGTCCGGTACGAAGAAAGTTGCACCGTTTCAAAGGGTGTTCCGTTTCAAAGGCTCGTCAAAACATTGATTAAAAATCAGCAGATACAGCCGCTAGACATAAAGTGTCGAGTCACGGGAATGAAATTGCTACGCACGCTGAAACATTGATTAACAATCGATAGGAAGCACGAAGCAACTGATTCAGCTGCACCGTCTCGGACAGCTCATTGGTTTACAAACGAAGTAGCTACGACGACCGAAGCCAAAAACATCGATTAAACGTATTACATGAACAATAAACACGAACAGTGAACAGCGCGAAACCCAATCTCGAATTTCTCAGAGCGTTGAAAGCTGCGCATAAACGACAAATGTTGGCGACTGCTGACCAGAAAAATTGCATCGCGTTCGCGATTTCTATGCCGACGATACCCAAGAACCGTTGTGACCGTGAGCCACGCAGTTTTCAATGAAAAAATTGCCGAAGACCGGGCTCCTCTTTTGGCCGACTTCCGCGTAGAGCGTCGGACTCGAGAGAACGGATGGAAGACGCGCGCGATAGGCATTTTGTTGAAGAACGAGCGTGTGTGAACGACCTAGCTAAAAAGAATCAATAGGGGCGTGCAGGCTGGTTCCTGTATTCGGTCCAGATGCACTTCAGAGGTGCAACTGCACCCGCTGTAAAGAGGTCACTCGGAGGATCCGCTCGTCCGCGGCACGCTACGGCGCGACGAAATTTCTATGCCCTTTCTCCGCGAACGTCGTGAACTTGGCAAGACCGTGGACTCTATTTTGGCAATGCGAAACGGTTACGTAAACCCGTAGAATCGAACTGCGGAACGATAACGCCGGCGAATCGAACGAAAAAATGTAAATTATCGTGTAACCGGTACCTCGGCACGCGAACGGTCCGCCTAATCTCGCGCATTTCGCTGTGCAGGTTACAAGACGATCCTGAAATGCATCAACGGGAAATTTCGGTCCGGCGAGCTGACCGCCATCATGGGCCCCTCCGGAGCCGGGAAGAGCACCCTGATGAACGTTCTAGCTGGTTACAAGTGAGTTACACCGACCGGTTCCAAACGGTTACCGGAGACGCTCTCCCCGGAGGCTGCAATTCGCGAATTTTTCCCCGAGCAGCCGAACGAGCTGGCTCGATGAAACCTTCGCAGGCTCGTTTCTACATGCTTCAACTATGCTCGTGAATTTTTCCGCGGGTCTGCCGCGAGAACCGTATCAATTATTCCGGTCAGGTAACTCGGATGGCGCACAATGAACAATGAATTTTTCAGAGCTTCGAAATATTGATCTACGCGGTTCTCCAGGCTTCGAGAGATCGCCACGTACGCTTCGAGTATATTTGTAAACTGTCGAGCGGTTCTGTCGAGCTGTTTGCGCGGCATCCTGCGTGTCATCCGAGACGTACGTGACATCTCTCGAATAATTGCTCGGATCTCCGCGGACAACGATGCGGAAAAAGTTCGGAGCATGGTTGTTGACACGTATGCAAATTACTATACGTCGGAAAGACGCGTCGGTCGGTTCGAATAAAAACAGTTTAAGAAAGGAGTCAAAGTCTCCGCGAAGTCGAGCCCCGAAGCCTTGAAGAAGACGACCGAAAATCTTCTTCGTGTCTTTACAGAACCTCTCATCTGTGCGGCTCCGTTCTGATCAACGGAAAGGACAGGAACCTGCGACGATTTCGCAAGATGTCCTGCTACATCATGCAGGACGATCGTCTGCTGCCTCATCTGACGGTTCTCGAGGCGATGACCGTCTCCGCGAACCTGAAGCTGGGCAAAGACATCGGCGCCAGGGAGAAGAAAGTGGTGGTACGTCGACGTACAGTAATGTCTCCCTTACTGACGCTCGGATCGTCCACAAAAATGGACAATTTGGGAAGAGGAGATACGATTATTCGAGCCTTGCAACTCGTTTTTATAGTTGTTGACAATCGATAACCATAAAAAACGAGCCACAAGGCTCGAAAAATCGTATCTCCTTCTCCAAAATTCTCCATTTTTGTGGACAATCTGAGCGTCGATTAGGGAGACATTACTCTATTCTCCTAAAACCCAGCGATCGAACGATTCCGCGTTCCAGAGTGCTTGAACGCGGTCTTCCGATTGTTGCAGATCGAGGAGATCATCGAAACTCTCGGCCTAAACGACGCGAGCAACACGCAAACCCACTGCCTCAGCGGGGGACAGAGGAAGAGGCTGTCGATCGCGTTGGAACTAGTCAACAATCCTCCGGTGATGTTCTTCGACGAGCCGACTTCCGGTCTGGACAGCTCGACTTGTTACCAGTGTCTAAGTTTGCTCAAATCGTTAAGTAGAGGAGGTACGTCAACCGACCGCGTTCACGTAATCGCCGGACCGCGGATCTTCGCGCAAAATAAGGATCGCGTAGCTAAATTCCATGAGATGGAAGTCAAGCGCGAGCTTCGTTTTGTCTTCGATCGTTTCGATGAGTTCGAAATGATGTACGAACGTTCCTAATTTATTTTAAATATTTTCGCCGTTTAAATTGTGTCTGCTCATTTTTGCCATGAATGCATAGAATCCGCGGTGTAATAATCGCAGGTCAGCATTCCATTTAGATACCTTAGAACGACTTTGAATTTTCTATTGAATTTTTGCTACCAAACAACGTATAAATTTGGAATTTTTTCATAACTTTGGCATTTTTTTACCACGAAAGTGCGATAGCTTTCGCTGCCAAACAGTGGGAAATCGTTCGTTCGAGGATTTTATGCATTTATGACAAAAATAAGTGAGTGAAATTTCAAGTAATAGACGTCTTTATATTATTATATAAAGAGTGTCTTAATAATGTCTTTATATTATTTTCAACGTGCGAAAATTGTTAAAGAAAGAAAGAAGTTTCCACCTGACATTCACAAATACAATTTATACTTTGCGAAAAGATCCGCCGTCGAATAATTATAGATACTACAGGTGCTTCGGACTGACTTTGAAATTTGTCCACCTTGAAGTTACGAAACCTGTCGCTATCGAACGCTATGCAATCACGAAGAGGAGTACTCTGCAATTAGATGCTTTAGACCAACTTCGAAATTTGTCCGCAATAAAACAGCGAAATCTTTTGCTAGCAAACAGCGCATAATCGCGAAGAAGTGCTCTATCACAGATAGTTTAGATCGACTTTGAAATTTGTTCTACGACGGAGAGAGCAACGAAACTTTTCGCTGCGAAACAGTACACGATCGTAAAGAAGCGCTCTATCGCGGATGCTTTAGACCGACTTTGAAATTTATTTTGCAAGGAAGAACGAAGGTTCTCGCTGCCAAGCAATACGCAATCGTGAAGAAGATACAGCAAACGCGGATACAGTAAATTCTCCCTAATTGACGCTCAGATTGCGCACGAAAATGGGCAATTTGGGGAGAGCAGATACGATTATTCGACTATTCGATTGCACTGCTTCTATTTTAGTGTTATTATATCTATATCTATTTATTATATATCTATTCTATTATTATTTCGATTATTCGGCTCATTTTTATAGTCGCTGCCTGTCGAAAATTATAAAAACGAGGCGCGAGGCTCGACTAATCGCGTCTCCTCTTCCCAAACTGTCCATTTTTGTGCACAATCTGTGTGTCAATTAGGGAGAATTTATTGCACTCGTAATTTCCTTTGGGAATNAATCGTATTCTCCGATTCCCAAATTGTACATTTTTGTGCATAATCTGAGCGCGAATTAGGGAGAATTTATTGCATTCGAGCCTCGTGGCTCGTTTTTATAGTTAGCGATTGTGAACAATTATATAAACGAGGCGCAAGCTCAAATAATCGTATTCTCTGATTCCCAAATTGTACATTTTTGTACATAATCTGAGCGCGAATTAGGGAGAATTTGGTGCGTTCGAGCCTTGCGGCTCGTTTTTATAATTACCGATTGTGAACAATTATAAAAATGAGGTGCAAGACTCGAATAATCGTATCCCCTTTTTACGAAGTTGTCCATTTTTGTGCACAATCTGTGTGTCAATTAGGGAGAATTTATTGCACTCGTAATTTCCTTTGGGAATTCATTGTAATTAAATATCGTTATCAAAAAAAGAATTGTCTAAGAAATAATAGTAATAATAATAATAATAATTATAAATAATAATAATTATTATTATTATTATTATTATTAATAATAATATCGTCTCGAAATATTTATATAAAATATAAATAATAATAATAATTATTATTATTATTATTATTAGAATATTTCGAGACGAGCAGATATGAAAGGCTCAAATGCAAGGCTCAAATAATCGTATCTCCTCTTCCCAAACTGTCTATTTTTTTTTACTGTACTTCGAACGAACTTTGAAATTTGTCTGCAACGAAGCAACGAAACTTAGGCTAACTAACTGTTTCAGGGAGAACAATCATCTGTACAATCCACCAGCCGAGCGCGCGGCTGTTCGAGATGTTCGACAACCTGTATCTATTGGCCGAAGGGCAGTGTATATATCAAGGGAACGTGGGCGGTCTGGTGCCGTTTTTGTCGTCGATGGGTCTGGAATGTCCGAGCTATCACAACCCGGCGGATTACGGTACGTGAAACCGAGAACAAGAAACCCCGAAGTCGGGGAATCGATCGTCTTACGGAGGTGAAATTGTTTGCAGTGATGGAGGTGGCATGCGGCGAGCACGGCGAGTGCGTTCATAAGCTGGTGATAGCCGTGAACAATGGGAAGTGCGCGAACTATCAGCACAATCAGGCGGCGATGAACGCGGTGCAGACGTTGCCGAACGACATCGCGAAGGAATCGCCCCAGCAAGAAACGAAATCCGAGACGGCGCTGATACCGAACGGCGTGCTCAAGCAGCCGAACGGAGGAACCGTGATCAACATGCCGATCTCGTGCACCACCTCTTTGCTGGACAGCGCGGAGAGCATAGAGCAGACGGTCGGCTTCCCAACGAACAGCTTCACCCAATTCTGGATTCTGCTTAAGAGGATATTCTTGTCGCAGATAAGAGACATGGTGGGTTCCTTCGACGAACCTTGTCCAGCCGTTTCGTAGCCGAAACCTTTCTGCGCCCTGAACTTTTGCTTTTCTCGCACGCTATGCTTACTTTTACGATACGTCGCGAGTATTCGTTGAACTGATTCGTTGTTACGTTGCAGACATTAACGAGAGTAAGGCTGATTTCGCACATAATCGTTGGGTTCCTCATCGGCGGGATTTATTACGACATCGGCAACGAGGCCTCGCAAGTGATGAGCAACGCCGGTTGCGTGTTTTTTACGGTGATGTTTCTCATGTTCACGGCCATGATGCCTACCATTCTCACATGTAAGTCGAATCGAACGATACCGATCGCCTTGCGTCGGCGTAATTGTGCCTGTTAACGGTTTAACTATTGTTTCCCCGCAGTCCCCTCGGAAATGGTTGTGTTCGTGAGGGAACATTTAAATTACTGGTACTCCGTGAAGTCGTACTACCTCGCGAGGACTTTGGCTGATGTGCCCTTTCAGGTGAGCGCGATATGCACTTATGGGACCGTTCTAGTCTAGAAATGGTTCAACGTTGGGTACTATTAGGTTTTGTGATGCGGTGACCTTGGTGTCAGAGGTCTGGACCTCTCTGACACCTTGGAAGAGACAAGGGGAATTATAGGAATTCAAAGCGATTGTTCAAATGAAGTTTGAGGTGCGTTCTCGAGGGACTATTTCTGTGCAACATAGCTTAAATGAAAGCTGGAAGAGTCTAGTTTAAGACAGGGTAGATTAGATCATGATACAACAACGAGATCATTTTGAACAATTATAAGGAATCGACCTCTGACATCATGGGGTTTACAAGATTTGAGAGGAAAAGTTCAGGTGAATATTAAGATACGTTTCTGTAGAGCTATTTTTATGCAACTTAGCTTAAATGGAAGCTAGAAGTATCTACTTTAAGACAGGGTAAACTAGATTACGATAGAACGACGAGATCATTTTGAACAATTATAAGGAATCGACCTCTGACATCATGGGGTTTACAAGATTTGAGAGGAAAAGTTCAGGTGAATATTAAGATACGTTTCTGTAGAGCTATTTTTATGCAACTTAGCTTAAATGGAAGCTAGAAGTATCTACTTTAAGACAGGGTAAACTAGATTACGATAGAACGACGAGATCATTTTGAACAATTATAAGGAATCGACCTCTGACATCATGGGGTTTACAAGATTTGAGAGGAAAAGTTCAGATGAATATTAAGATACGTTTCTGTAGATATATTTTTATGCAACTTAGCTTAAATGAAAGCTGAAAGTATCTACTTTAAGACAGGGTAGATTGAACTGAGATATTTTCGTACAAGGAAACGCTGTCGTAGTTATTACACAACCTAATAGTACCTCAAAATATCTGAACTAAATCTCGAGCTGAACGCTCTGATTAATCCGTCGATTCTTCTTCTTGCAGATAGTGTACTCTATAGCATACGTCGTTATTGTATATTTCATGACGTCACAGCCATTGGAGACGAATAGGTTCATGATGTATTTAACTATATGTGTATTGACAGCGTTAGTGTCTCAATCCATCGGTTTAGTCATAGGTGCAGCGATGAGCGTCGAGGTAATAATCCTTCCTGACAAGCTATATATGTATACTGCTATGTGGGAAATAGGAATAGTGTTATATATGCATTAAGTTGTCCTGGAATTTCTGCGTTGTTGCATTTTCCTGATCAGATGCTACGTCGTCGTAGGAAATCCAAATTCGACGCGACAGGCAAGAATATTCTGAGAGGAATCGTAAAAATCTCATTCTGCGACAATATAATCCCGAACGAAATCATCAAAACATGTTACCGAAATTAACGTGTCATTGATACACGATTCAAATAACTGCTACATTCGTTGAAAAATTGTTTACAGTTAGACCACGGATTTATTATCCATTTCCCTGTGCAACAGCACAGGGAAATTCACAGCGATCCGAAATTCGGCATTTCCGAGAGAAATAGCTGCATTCCAAGACAACTTAACGGCGTTTCCCGCACAGTAAAGTAGAGATAAACCGAACGAGGAGACAAATGCAATGAAATTCGATTTCAGAGCGGAGTGTTCATCGGTCCGGTGTCGTCGGTGCCGATCGTCCTGTTCTCCGGTTTCTTCGTCAACTTCGACGCGATCCCAAAGTACCTGAAGTTCCTCTCGTACGTGAGCTACGTCCGGTACAGCTTCGAAGGGGCGATGATCTCGGTGTACGGCTACAATCGGGCCAAGCTCAAGTGTTCCGACCCCTACTGCCACTTCAAGAGCCCGACGAAGTTCCTCGAGGCGATGTCGATGCAGGACGCGGTCTTCTGGGTGGACGCGGTCGCGCTCGCTGGCATCCTCCTATTCCTCCGAGTGGCCGCCTACTTCGTGCTCAGGCTGAAGCTGCGATCTCTCCGCTAAGACGGCCGACGGCTGGTCCCGGATCGTGCCTCGATCCGGATTCCCGGACCCGTGATCGTCGAGTTCATTTCGCGCGCGTGCAACGAAAAAAACCGAGCCGGTCCGGCGGCCGCGAAACGGACATGTTCGCCCCGGCGAGGATTTTACGCTCGCGTGGACGCGCGATGGAACTGCATCGATGGAGCAAAAACTACTGAACCAGAGACACGCCCCGCGACGTGCACATATCGGCGGCATTTCGTCGGTGTCGCGGTCGCGCGTGTTCCCGCGGCCTGTGTCCGATCCGATCCACGTGGATCGACGGTCGCGTTCCGACGGCAAAGAGAGAGAGACTGAACCCGTGGAGCTGACCTAAAACAGAGATTTCTCTGGCCAGGATTGTGCTTGTGGAACGTTGACCTTCGGTGCCGGCCGGCGGCAGGCGCGTAGATCACTTAGGCATTTCTAATAACGTAGAGTACGCAGGAATTAGACTCGTCACATCATCGATTACATTGCGTCGACAGGACACGCGCATCGAACCGGAAGAACGTGAGAAAATAAACGAAGAGAAAAAAAAACACGAAAAAAAAGAAACGGAAGAAAGAAAGAAAGAAAGAACAAGGGAAAACATTTCTAGCCAATTACTACAAACTCGCCAGGAGCCTTAGGCCCATTCAAGACTCATGGTCCCTCCAATGAGCGCGTGTGCAATCACGCGACGATATAGACTTTTTCGATTAGATAAGCAATAGAGTTTACGGATCCATGGTTAGGATGGATTCTTTATTGTTCTCGTGTTTACATCGACCGCCACCATTCATTTTAGGCTATACGGAACGACCCGCGGGCCGTCGCTGCGACGAACAGCGAGAGAAAAAAAACAAAATCATTGTCAGAATCGTCGAGCGGTGTTTACGGTGTTCGCCGCGCGTCCCAGCGGCACGGCCCGCGCGTATTTGTACTTCGGGGATGATTTCTTACGCGACCACTGTCGAAACTTTGCCCATATCGTCATTCCATTAAGTGATAATCCGATCGGGAGTAACGTCGAACCTGCAACACGGGGAATGGTAAGAGCGTGACAGCGTCGAAGAACAGAGACGGAGGAAAGATCGAGAACGGAGCTGGGTAATATTTTGCAGAGAAAATATTTGAAATACTAATTTTCAAACGATTCGAAATACGTGAAACGGTGCGTCGAATTTCAGTAGATAAGATATTTCGTTTCGACGATGCGAGAAACGCGAGATAAAATGGTTTTTTATTTTGGTGATCCAAAGTCGAAAACGCGAAAATGAAGAAATTTATATCGACATCGTCTGAAAAAAAAATATACAATAAAATAGTTTTCATTTTAATAAACACGAAACAAGAGAAATATGCGAAGTTCATTGCCTTTTGAAATTCGCGCAACGACGTGCATAACGTGCATATATATATATATACTTCGTTTTGGATTACCAAAATAAACGTTGCACCATGATCTGACGGAATAAAATGATTTTATTCGTCGATAATACGANGCTACAATCGGGCCAAGCTCAAGTGTTCCGACCCCTACTGCCACTTCAAGAGCCCGACGAAGTTCCTCGAGGCGATGTCGATGCAGGACGCGGTCTTCTGGGTGGACGCGGTCGCGCTCGCTGGCATCCTCCTATTCCTCCGAGTGGCCGCCTACTTCGTGCTCAGGCTGAAGCTGCGATCTCTCCGCTAAGACGGCCGACGGCTGGTCCCGGATCGTGCCTCGATCCGGATTCCCGGACCCGTGATCGTCGAGTTCATTTCGCGCGCGTGCAACGAAAAAAACCGAGCCGGTCCGGCGGCCGCGAAACGGACATGTTCGCCCCGGCGAGGATTTTACGCTCGCGTGGACGCGCGATGGAACTGCATCGATGGAGCAAAAACTACTGAACCAGAGACACGCCCCGCGACGTGCACATATCGGCGGCATTTCGTCGGTGTCGCGGTCGCGCGTGTTCCCGCGGCCTGTGTCCGATCCGATCCACGTGGATCGACGGTCGCGTTCCGACGGCAAAGAGAGAGAGACTGAACCCGTGGAGCTGACCTAAAACAGAGATTTCTCTGGCCAGGATTGTGCTTGTGGAACGTTGACCTTCGGTGCCGGCCGGCGGCAGGCGCGTAGATCACTTAGGCATTTCTAATAACGTAGAGTACGCAGGAATTAGACTCGTCACATCATCGATTACATTGCGTCGACAGGACACGCGCATCGAACCGGAAGAACGTGAGAAAATAAACGAAGAGAAAAAAAAACACGAAAAAAAAGAAACGGAAGAAAGAAAGAAAGAAAGAACAAGGGAAAACATTTCTAGCCAATTACTACAAACTCGCCAGGAGCCTTAGGCCCATTCAAGACTCATGGTCCCTCCAATGAGCGCGTGTGCAATCACGCGACGATATAGACTTTTTCGATTAGATAAGCAATAGAGTTTACGGATCCATGGTTAGGATGGATTCTTTATTGTTCTCGTGTTTACATCGACCGCCACCATTCATTTTAGGCTATACGGAACGACCCGCGGGCCGTCGCTGCGACGAACAGCGAGAGAAAAAAAACAAAATCATTGTCAGAATCGTCGAGCGGTGTTTACGGTGTTCGCCGCGCGTCCCAGCGGCACGGCCCGCGCGTATTTGTACTTCGGGGATGATTTCTTACGCGACCACTGTCGAAACTTTGCCCATATCGTCATTCCATTAAGTGATAATCCGATCGGGAGTAACGTCGAACCTGCAACACGGGGAATGGTAAGAGCGTGACAGCGTCGAAGAACAGAGACGGAGGAAAGATCGAGAACGGAGCTGGGTAATATTTTGCAGAGAAAATATTTGAAATACTAATTTTCAAACGATTCGAAATACGTGAAACGGTGCGTCGAATTTCAGTAGATAAGATATTTCGTTTCGACGATGCGAGAAACGCGAGATAAAATGGTTTTTTATTTTGGTGATCCAAAGTCGAAAACGCGAAAATGAAGAAATTTATATCGACATCGTCTGAAAAAAAAATATACAATAAAATAGTTTTCATTTTAATAAACACGAAACAAGAGAAATATGCGAAGTTCATTGCCTTTTGAAATTCGCGCAACGACGTGCATAACGTGCATATATATATATATACTTCGTTTTGGATTACCAAAATAAACGTTGCACCATGATCTGACGGAATAAAATGATTTTATTCGTCGATAATACGNCCGAACCATGACGACGGAAATATCATCGACGTTCTACGAATAAAATACTATTTGAAAATATCATCTCGATATGATTTGTCACAACGAACAAAATATTTTCTCCTGAAAAATAATACACGCACAGCAAAATATGTATATTTATTCGCTATATTCGCCGTTCAAGATACGTACTATCATACCCAGCTCTGATCGAGACGAGAACAAAAGAGCTCACATCTGACCAATCACTAGCTGCCTGTGCGTTTGCTTCTAACACGTGGGACTGCTGAAACAAAACAAAAAAAAAACTACATTGTTACATTTATTACGGTATAGTTGTTTAAATTAGACCGGTGAAGGGAGCATAATAATTATTAAATCGAAAAGATACCAAAAAAAGGAGAACAAGAAGAAGAGGAGTAGGAGGAGGGAGGAGGAGGAGCAATTACGCGCTCGCGCGAGATGCGGGACGTCGCGGGCACGAATGGAGCGGCGTATTAACGAATTTAACGGGATTACGATGGTTTTTCGCGAGGAACGTTTTACAGGTGTTCTCTCTGTTACCACGGCCTAGACACGGGTCGCACCGTCGCGGGGTTCGCTAGCTCGACGACAGAAACCGGCCGATCCATCGTCGATATCTGTTCGATTCGTTCCCGATCTCCTCGCAGCCGGCGTTCGCCATTTGAAAAAATAAAAAGCCGTGAACCGGTGTGGCAGAAGTCGATCGACGTGTCGTTGTGTCCTTTTAGTTTAAACTTGGTACGCCTCGGGTAGGAGCGACGTTTGTTGAATAGTAGTCGTATAAATATTTTTCTATTCCGGATATATTGTATAGAGAATTCTACTTATCGTTTCTCGTCTTAGGGGTGGGACGGAACGGTCGTCGTCGTCGTCGATATCGCGACGGGCTCGTTCCTCGCCGCACTTTAATTACGCCCGTGATTTCGTTTGCAGGCAAGGATTAGACGCGAGCGCCGCGCGGCGCCGATTAGCGGCGCCAACAAAAAGAAATATTCATCGGTGAGACAGTATGTACTTACCTACGAGATCGTTTAGGGATGCGCGTGCGCGCGCGCGCGTGTTTCGCTCTGGAACCCCCTTCGGGACCGTGCTTCTTGACTTAAATTTATCGAGTCGTACACGCTCGATGCGACAGGACTTTAGCCTGCTTCTATACTTCTACTGATACCTTCGGCGAACGAATTTTCGGAACGTTTTGCGGACGGTCCCGCGATCGTTAGCCGCGGACCAGAACGATTCGCGGGACTCTCTATCTCTCTTTCTCTTTCTCTCTCTCTCTAGCGAGGTTTTTTTGGGGAGACTCTTCGAGCGTCGTTTCTCGAGAAAATCGAATCGTAGACGAAACTTCGGGGAGAGAGAAGAGTGCGAGCGCGGGGGCGGGCAGGGTAGGGATCAAAAAAAAGTTTCCATATTTTTAGACTTGCTATATAATTATTATCGTTTGTACTTTCACTTATTGTCGGGGATTGAAAGGGTTCCGAAGATGCCCGTTTCAAATCGTATGTATATTGGTCCGATTGAGACGGTCGCGGAGAACCGAGTATGTAAATCTGTTGCGAAGGGCTGACGAAATATTTCTGTGAAAATTCGATGCTGGAGTTTTCAGATGAAGGCGATTCGTTCTACTGTACTCTCGCCTTCGGATCTCGAGTCGGTGTTCAAGCGAGAAATGCGTGCTTTGTTTAGCAAAACGAGAAATAACTGGACAGCGAATTTGATGCATTCATAAGAAAAATAATCGGACTCAAAAACGGCAAAGCGTTCGAACGAGCTGTTGCATTATTTTCAACTGGTTTAAATGATTGAACAACGAAGTCACTGTCTACGTAGTTCCTGTATCTTGTAATCGACGCAGACAATCTTCATTTCGCGTGAAAATCCGCTTGTAGCAATTATAAGCAGGTTGCGGATTTTATGCGTTTATGGGAAAAATAGATATGCGAAACATAAAGCAGTGAAAAGATTGAACGCAACTAAGAACGTTGATGCGTTAATTCTAACTTATTAGAATTATTTGAATTATTCAAGCACAAGGAAGAACGTTGCACTTGGCACCCGTGTCTCGTAATTGTTGCACAGAATTCTCATAATTCGCGTAAAGATCCGCTGTCCAGTTACGGAACTGCTTCGATTCTCCGCGACCGTTTGATAACTCGAAACCGACGTCGCGAATGTTTTCAATCCCTGCTTATTATCGTTAAACGTAAGCGAGCAAATTGACAAAACGCGCGGACGGGGCGGCAAACAACGAGGCATTTTTGCGTTGTCCTCGTTTCGTTTTCTTTTTTCCATTTTATCTTCTCCTTTCCTTTTCTATTGTATTCTCGTTGTAGCGTGGTATATATCCGACGTAGTCGGGGCTTGGGGTCGATGTCCGCGATGGCCCGATCGATCGATCGATCGATCGCGACCAAATGTAGTCGATCCTCGATCGAGGACCGTGCCGAGGTCGACGTCCGGACTCGCGGAATCGTCCGATTGCTCGTTTCATTCCGAACAAGCTCCGATCGCGGTAACTTGGAACGACTGTGATGCCAGTGTCGGCGAACTTATGTTCGCCGGTAGACGAATGCGAATCGGAGATGGAAAGATGCGGTCTAAAATGGCGGCGATGCTCGAGCAACCGCGGAATCTACAGTTCTCGCGCGCCACGAGGAGGCTGCTCTGTGTCTACTTTCCCCCTCCTGCTGGCTGCCCACTGGCGCGGCTAGTTGGAGGGGGAATGTGAACGCAAAGGTGCCAGTTTGTCGCGCGAGAACTATACTTTCACTCGAAACGATACGCTTTTTATTTTCGTTCTATGTTCGCGGAATCCGCGAACTGAATGAAGCTCGCGCTGAATATTCAACCCTTGCTCACCGTTCAAGAAACTGGGACACCTATACCTTTGATCTAGACCACACACGTGCAATATACATATACAGACTGTCGATATTAATTTAGTTTACTTCTCTGCTTCTAGGTCAAATCTAGTTCGCAAGGGTTGATCGCAGCTGTTCTGGTTCCGTTTCGAACATTTCTTTCGGTCGAATGAAGTATGTCGAAGTAATTTACGCGTTTAAAAACGGAGCAAACTGTCCGCCGTCTAACCCTCGCAAGCCGGTGTCCGGGTCAATTTTGATCCGGAGCGTTCACATTGTTCACTTAATTACTTAATTTCTGACAGATTAAATTAAATAAATTGTTGTTGCGTTAAGAACGACGGAAAGGCGCCAATGAGTATGCCAGAAGTATCTTGAAAAATGTTCTGAAAAATTGCTAAACAAAGCTGTGGAATTGTTACAAATATCGTTAATAGTGCAATTGTGAAAATGGTCCGCCGTTCGAGGGTTAAAACGGCATTTCTCAAGATGTTGTAGATCGAAGAAGGCGTCTCGTTTCGTGCAGTAATTTCTGTCTAATTCGCGCTCAAATTGCGCGCAAAAATGGACGATTTGGGAAGAAGAGATACGATTATCCGAGCCTTGCGTCTCGTATTTATGATTGTTGACAATCTGCAACTATAATAATCGTATCTTCTCTTCCGAAATCGTCCATTTTTCTGCGCATTCCGTGCGCGAATTAGGGAAGAACTACGGTAATACGCGCGCGAATTAGGGAAGAATTACAGTAATCCGCGCGATCGAAAGCTCGAAACAAGCTGCCCGCCGTTTAAGACGGTATTTCCGGCCATCTCCGACAGCAATACTGTAAAGTGTACATAGAGCGACTGTAAGTAATAGAGGAGTATCGCGGAGGCGTGATGGGAAGTCGAACGAAGAAGACAATGAAAGTGCGACAGGCTGGACTTTCCTTGCGAATAGCGGAACAAGCGTTCGTCGTTGCGTTCACCCGAACGTTCGCCCGATTAGGTTCCGGCTCTTCTGTACCACAAATGGTAAAAAACTGTACCAAAATGAAATTCGTTCGAGCAGCGCGTCATTCCCACCGTTTTATAGTTCGCCGACGAGCGACGCGACCCGATTGGCCGCGGGGCCGATCGCCGCGGATCTCTATGCCTCGGCGACGAAAGCAAAGAGAAATTGTACGCTTACTCTTTTTAATAAACGATTTTCTTCGGTGAAGGAGAACAAATCTGTGTTGTTGGAACAAATCCATTTTGGGGGATACTATGATTTCGCAGACATTGGTGCGCCGTCGATCGCGAAGACGCCGAAAGCCTGGAACGGCGCGCGGCCGTTTGTCGCGCTCTAAATTTCAATTAACCCGTTCGTTTCCGGCGATCGGTTGCAGCATCGATCGGCCGGCCGTTCGTCCGGACTCTCGTGGATCCTCGATTCATGCTGGCAACCAATCCGATTCGATCCGACAAACACTGCTAACGAACCACCTTCAATTAAAACGCAGGGCTCTGTCCGACCGGGGATGGGGGCAGGACCGTTCGATCATGCTGCGAGAGAATATCATCGTGTAACACGTAGGAGAATTGATTCATGAAATTTCCGCTTTTAGGACACGTGACACGAACATACACACACACGGACACGGACACACACATGTACAATCGATCGCCGGGCGCCGATGCGGCCGCTGATCGCACCAACCGGGGATCGTTCGAGCTCGCATCGAGCCACGGTGCGCCCACACTTTTTTCAAGTATTGTAATTTTATATGAACAATGGAGTATACGTATGAGAGGCTGTGTGCATGCGTGCGCGGACATCGGGGTCCGCGTCTACGGGAGGAGAACGTGGAAACGAGAGGAACCTCAAAGCGGGAAGAAAAGGGAGTACGTACTGCGATATCCTTGCGGCGACAACAAATTTTCAACTATAATGTTCCATGTTCTGAGCAAGGAATGTCACGTTTATACTAAAGCACAAATGAATAAACATCTGTATAATGCGTGTCGGAGTTATTTCATTTACCACCGCGATAATACGCGAATGCGATTAACGCGTTTGGGTGCAGATTTATTTGAAAATATTCTTGCCGTTCGAACGGATTTATTAATTAATTGATTAATTAATTAATTTAGTTTTTTGATGCGCGGAATAGCGCATAAAGGCAGTAGATTTTGTGTGAGCAAAATGCAAGCAGCATGCAAACTTTTTCAAATAAGATTTTGTTGTTGTTATCATCATCATTATTATTACTATTGTATTATTACTATTATATTATTACTATTATTATTACTATTATATTATAACTATTTTATTACTATTATATCATTATTATTACTATTTTATTACTATTACATCATTATTATTACTATCTCATTACTATTATATTATTATTATTAGTATCATATTATTACTATTATTATTACTATAATCCCACCGTACTCTCCTTTTAAACGAACGGCAAACAATCGTCAAACAACGAGGGTTGCAACCATCGATCCCTAAAAAACAACTCGCTCGAAACCGGTCGCCATTTTCATCATAATGTCTGCAAGTCTATCGTTTAATCGTTCCCATTTAGAATCTCCGTATTCCCAATAATTCTTAAATGAAAAAATGCGCAACCAACAGACTCGATGGTAAACTTATCTGCGCAGGGATCGAACGCAAAAGCGTCCAAGCCGACGACGATCGGCACGGAGGATGCGGGACGGGGAGATTCAAACCGTCGGCCGCAAGTTCGTCACAAGCACGTGGGACCTAGGCAACCAATGCAACGTCGAACGAGTTATTTTAAGCTCGCTTTCGCCACTGCTGCCACGGCGAAGCTCGTTCAATTTTTTCCTATTCTCCGAGACGGGACGCCGAGAGGTCCGGCCAATTTCCTCCGGCGCATCGATAATTACCGCGTTACGTTAACTCGCCTCGAAGGTCCTAGTTCAGCGGTGTTCGGTTCAGCCGGCCGGATCCGTTGCAGAATCTTGCGACACGTTTTACAACCGAAGCCGGCAAGCGTGGCCGGGTGTGCGCACCGTCGGAAATTCGTCGGATGCGACGTGTAGTTAAATTGCGGTACGGTGTAACGCGTGGAAAACGGCCGGTGAATCGTCGTACGTTATGGAGAAACCCATAGTGCGCGCAAGGGTGGTCAAAGTCCTCGGCAGGACCGGTTCCCAGGGGCAGTGCACGCAGGTCAAGGTGGAGTTCCTGAACGAGCAGAACAGACAGCTGATCCGGAACGTTAAAGGGCCCGTTCGCGAGGGGGACATACTCACCCTCTTGGAATCCGAGAGGGAAGCGAGACGACTGCGCTAGCGTTACACGGGGGGGCATCTTTTATCGGGGGCCCCCCATAAACGGAATCGGAATCCTGCGACCCCGAAGGTAGGCGACCGCGACCGTTGGCCTACTCATCTATTCCTAGAATTACAATGGTCGCGAAATATCTGCGTTTGTGACGAATATACGAGAATAGCACAGGCTGCATAAAGCAGCCATCGAAATTAAATTCACCTTTAATTTTACCGAAATATTTTATTCAGCGCGTTCGCGATCGTAATTTATTTCGTTGCCGGAGATATAGAACACGATTACTCGTGGCAAATATAGAACGGTATAATTCGTGACAAGTATAGAATAGTATAGAGTTGTAGAACGCCATTAAAATTCATTGTATTTCGTTCGCCGAAATATTATGTTCATGATTAACCCCTTGACGTACGATTTTCTTCGCTGCGATTAGAAATTTTTCGAGTGCAATTATTTCTTCGAAGGGAAAGATAATTGATGATTATCGTGTGCCTAAATTTAGTTGAATGTTTTTAAATATTTATGACAAGAGATTAGAATTTGATTCCGATGTTAAAAGACAGAAAACAAATTTTCACGACGAGTCGGAGTCGTCGAAGTACGGCAACGGGTTAAATGTTTCATTTATAAAGTAGATATTTGTGATAATAGATTTTCATAAACTTTTAGAAACAATTCGTATTTCTATAATATCCTTTTAGCATCCTTATAGTAATTCATATACACATAGTTTCATCCTTATAATAGATTTTTTTATTTCACCAATCGTATGTAAAACGCTTCTGGCGCCGGTAGCTTTAATATTAAGAAGACTTGCGCGGACGAAACGCAACAGAATAATTATTTGTTCCGCAGGTAGTTCGAGTAACAACGATGTCTATCCTCGGGAACAGCGAGAAGATTTCCACAATTTTTGTATGAATTATTTTATAACACGTGTACTACCCCGTCGCCGAACAGTTGTCACGATGGATGTTATAGAGCGAGTATAATAAACGAGCATCCAGCAAATAAATATGTAATACCAGCAGAATGTTATGCAAACGTTTTTTTGTTGCGCTCCTTTCTACGATTTCTACGCGCGAAATTGCAACATCGTTGGAAGGATGACTGTCTCCGCGAGGGGCGCGTTTCCGGTTAAATATCAATCGAACGAAGAGACGAACGCGGTTCTTCTTGTAATTCTACGTGCACGCAATAAAAAGTTATCCAGTTCGGATTAATTTCCACGGTGTTGCAACGTCCGTGTGCAACGAGGCACTTTCGCAAACGAGAAAGTGCGCGCAATAAAAGTGCGCGAACGGTTCTTAAATGTTATTAGAGCTGTCGAGCCCCTCGAAACGATGAATTCCAGATTTCTTATTTCGCAATTATTTAAATTACGAAGCTATTTTTGTGCATAATGCTGCATACATTCGATTGGGTATTTTGTAATAAAAATCGCGAAATGCTTCGATACATTAAATTTTGTTACTTTTAGTAGTCGATTTTAGCATTTGATAGTTCTAATGAATAAAACGTCTAATAAATAACGTCTAATGAATAAAATTCAACCTAAATGGAGTCGCTGCACACTTATGCGGCAATGTGACAAACGCCTAATAAAATAAACTACTTGATAACAAATTAATTACTGTCCATTCCTAACGAGACAGTACTAATGCTATCATAATTAGTTATATTCTTCAATTTCTATACTCGTACAAAAAAATCACAGTCCCTTTAGAGCGTCGAAAACAGCTCGACATGGTGACAAATAAATTGTAATACAAAAACGCAGTAAATCGAAAGGAAATTACCGTTGCCGCGGCAGTCGGAAAAATTTCCCACCGTGGCAGCACCGTCGCTTCGTTTCCGGCGACGGAAAGAGTTCAGATGGCGCTGTCGGTTTCGCTCTCCCAATCGAACAAGCGAGTCTCGGCAGAGATGCAAATGGCGGAACGTCGTAATTAATGATAATCAATAACCCGGCGATAAGTAACACAGTTTCAGCACGGAAAATAAAGCCTCGATTTTTCCTACGAATTTCCCGCAATTTACATAATCAAAATATGCAAAAACAACGAAACTACGGTAAAGAATAAATGAGAGGCCATCGACTTCCGTTGGCGGTGCGCATGCGCGCGCATGGACTTGGCGATCCTCGGCAGCGTCGCACATTCAGTCTAGTTTGAATCTCCGAGGTATTAAGTCCTCGTGTTTGCGATCCGCGGTGACTTTTGGAATTTTGTCGTTTTTTTTTTAATTTTTTTCTTCTGATTTCTAGTGTATCGTTACTGTAGTGGTGTTCAGACTAGGCTCCCTTTTTGTGGTACGGGTTTGTCAAGCGTGTTAGTGTTTTATTTGTAGGCTTCCGCGTTTTCCGCGCCGCGTCATCCGCGTATGTTCAACGGAACGATCTCTCGGTTTGGACGACGGTCTGTCCCCTGTCACGCTTCTGTGTCCTCTCTGTGTGCCTGTAAGGCGAGACTTCGGCGTTGCCGGTTCAACCGAAAACGCCTTGTGGCCGCCATTACACGGCCCGTTTTGCGCGGCCATTACGGCACCCTTCGTGTTCGGGTGTGGTCCTCGACAGCCTCGCAGTAATACGATTCCTCGGAATCGGGCTGGAGGAGATGGGACGTGCAATAACGGTATCCCATTAGGGACGCTTTCGCGAAATAATTGACGCACGAAAGCATCGGAATAATTTCTTCCCTTCTGTGGAGGATAGGTTTCCCTTGCCTTGATGCCTCTTTTAACCGACTCGCGGCGAATAACTAAGAAACCAAGGTTTCTTTCGTATTCGCGACCCCCTTCTCCCGAATTCCCCGCTGACGATTGCTTGTCCATTCTCGGGCGATCGAGTCGTTGGCATAACTTCCGCCTTGGGGAGTCCGATTCCGCTTCGATTCCGTCCATGGCTGCTATTCCCTCTTGAAAGAGGGGCGGTCATCCTGTTTTAGCACGCTAATGATTCTCCTGTCCACACTCGGACCCATTGTACTATTAGGTTAAGGCTCAACCTCTTACCTGGTATTCAATAAGTCTCGTTTTATTCCTTAGATCAACGCAGCGGAAGAAGACTGCACTTTTTTTCCTTTCATTTTCAGTAATTCTAATTTATTGAGACGATGCTAGGTAAGGGGTCAACTTAAGGGGGGGTGGGGTTTTTTCTAGTTGATAAGTTAGTTTTAAGTAAAAAGGTTGGCGGATGGCTAGCGCCGCCAGCCTTCAACGGGAAGGTCACGATAGCTTTTTAGTCGTTTACTCTCGAGGGAATCGACGACTATGGTATTGCCGTTACACGGCAATTTTGCATTTTGCTATGGAGGGCGGTTGGGCACCGCGGAGCGTAGGGCGAGTCACTGTTTGCAGCAACCTCCTCGTGGTGTGACTTGGGAAATTTGTGTTGCTCTAACAAAGCGAATACAAATTTGCGAATAGCTGCAAGTTCTTTTGAGTTCCGAAATAAAAGCCATTATTGAACGCACACGTTCGTGTTTACGGTTTACTATTACCCTTCGCAGAACAACAATCCTCTCCTGTCCTTGTGATTCCAGGTACTCGGGACACGGGCACTTCGACTGGATTGTGGCACGACCTACCGGCGGCTGTTTTTCATTGTTTACGCTTGATGCGTTCTTCTACGTGTTTCGCCGAGCCGTTTCGTATTCATTGTGTCTTTATTTGATGGGTCCGTCCTTGGGCCCATTTGTTTCTTGATTGGAAATAGCTACGTTTCAAAACGAAATCATTGAGATATTTTTTATAGTCTGTCGAATAGCGCAAAACTTGGAGAAATTTCGATTAAAGTATTTGTTGATAATAGAAGAGTGGTATATTTATTGACGTTATAATATTTAGCGATTTTTAAAATAAAATTATCTAAGCCTCGCACGATCCTGTGAAATAATTGAAGACTGCATTTTGGAAGTAATACTTCGATTATTTTTATTTTAATTAAAGTTGGATTTTCCATCTGGTATACGAAATTGTGAAGAAATCTTCGATGTAGAAGTTATTAAAATAAAAATTAACACCCCCCTGTATTAATATTCCTACATCCGAAAGAGAAATATCAAACATTTCAGAATACCTAATAGATATTTAAAGCGTTATAGCGTAAATATAAGTTATATAATATATATAAACATTTCATTTCAAAATTATTTAAACAATCCTCTGCAGAAAGTGATTTCAACAATAACAATAAACCTAGTCTTAAAATCGTTAAACATTTAATTTCAAAATTATTTAAACAGTCTTCCGCAGAAAGTGATCGCACGAATTTCCTAATCGAGGCACGCAATAAAAATAGCAAGACATCTAAATAAATTCGGTCCTGCAATTCTTATAACGTTTTTAGCACACTCGATAACTTGCAGTGTAATTCAGTAAAAATCGTACATTTAGTATAAATTTCCAGAGTTCTCTGTGCATATATTTTCACTCGAAGAACCCGCACCCCTTCTCGACCACCCCAAAAGCACACCAATCGAAAGGTCCCCTTTGCTTCCTAAAGCACCGTTCCCAGACCGTTCGAAACGCGGAAGAACATGGTCGACCATTTTGGAGCGGCTCGATAAGAGCCTCGTGTACCATGGGATTCGAACGACGATAAAATGGCTGCGTAAATTGCGAACGTGACCGTCGGTCTCGCCGATGACCGTAGGGAGGGGGAGGGTATCGAGAAGCAGCCGAAGAAAGGGTAATTAAGCTCTCGATCGTGGATCGCGTTATCGGGGGCCAATCGCGTGATTGTATTCCTCGGATGGCTACGTAGAGCACTCGGACCGACCGTGGACGGGACCGCGACCGCGATTAGGAGCGTGGAACATAGTCGTGTCGAACATCGATCAGCGCCGTTCAGTGGAACGTCGTGCCGCGTGTTGGCTGGCATTATTCTTGACGGTGGTATGCCGAGTTTTCCGTTTCCATCCGACCGAAAACCAGATCGTTGTTCCTGCCACCAAAGAGAACTCGGGACGTTCGCACGCCTCTAGCTCAGGCGGTACGTATTCGAAGCGAATTCGAGCGAGTGAACGGGCCGCGAAATCGGAGCATTCGTTTCTCATAACCTCCGGGCTCTTGCGCGTTCCATTAGCTGGGGTAATTAACGGCGACAGCCTCCTCGTTTCGGCGAGGGGAAAATCGCGTCGACGAGGATCGCAATTGCAACGCGATTCCTCGGTGCAACAGTATATGCAACCGCGTGCATCGTGCGCTATTCTTCTCGGCCGAACAATTGTAGTGCGTCGGCGGAGCTGCGCTCCATCGATAAGAATAGAACCACCTTATTGATCATTATAATTTCCCGCCACGTTCAACCGCTCCATCGGAGCTTCTTCGCGATCGTCCGAGCTTTTTAGTCGACCAGGTTTGCAGATCTCCGAGGAATTTCGACTGTTTACCGCGTCGTTAACCCCTGATCGTCGCTGCACGTCGCTTCTTTCAACCCTTATATAGGGGTTCTAACCCCCAAACGATGATACTTCGTTGCCGGGCTACGTTTGTAACTTGGAACTCACGTTTGAAGCTTAATTTCTTAGTAATTCGAATAAGTAAAACCGCTGTTTCTTAGCGCGCTTCTTTATGGATCTCGTAATTATTATTAACGAAATTTGTGCGTCCGAAAATCTTGCGAAATTGCGTCGACTTGGCGCCGAGTTTTTTCGCTTAGGTTGACAGTTCGCGTCGACCGGCGACGCGATATCGCTCGAGAGTTTTGATACACTTATTATCTACGTCTTTTACCTCGCGGATCATAGTCTACTAATTTACAGCTGTTATCTGCGAGATTGCTAGGCTTCCGCGCTCGCCGGGCGACCGGCTGTTTAGACGACAGAATAAATTCCGAGGTGCTAAGATCGTCCGGGGAAAAAAGATAATAGTTTATGATTCAGCTAAGTCATCTCGGAAGTTCGCGATTGGTTTCTAGTCGATTCGGTATGGAAGTTATGTTGAACGAGCGAAAGGGAAAAAATTCATTACTAATTTATAAGAGCGAGAGGTGTGAACGACGACATTTGAGCCGTTTATTTTGAAAGTGGCATAAGTCACTTTGTTTTGAAGTCGATATATTTAAGGGTTTGCGTTTGAACACGTTTAAATATATGGATGCTAACTTTCGAGAAGATTTACTTGTATTTGTTATCTCAGGATACTGATATTTTTCTCAGTATAAATAATTTCGTATAAACATTAAAAAATCACCACTTTTCACACTACGGTAAAGTGACTTATGCCACTTTCAAAATAAACGGCTCGTTTATAACAGTTCTGCAGGGACGAGAATCGAAATTCGTTCCAGCAGAGGAAAGGATGCTAGGAGACAGAGTTTCCGACACGTTTTTGCGCGCGGTTATGTTTATTTCAGCAATTCGACTTTGAATTATCACCTTGTCAAGGCCGACGGGTTGGTTCGTCGCAGAACGAAACGACGGACGACGATAATTCAGAAAAATCGTGAATCATTCGTCGAGACCCGCTCGATTGTCCAACGTTAAGACCGTTTTCTTTTTTGTCGNGAGGGGAAAATCGCGTCGACGAGGATCGCAATTGCAACGCGATTCCTCGGTGCAACAGTATATGCAACCGCGTGCATCGTGCGCTATTCTTCTCGGCCGAACAATTGTAGTGCGTCGGCGGAGCTGCGCTCCATCGATAAGAATAGAACCACCTTATTGATCATTATAATTTCCCGCCACGTTCAACCGCTCCATCGGAGCTTCTTCGCGATCGTCCGAGCTTTTTAGTCGACCAGGTTTGCAGATCTCCGAGGAATTTCGACTGTTTACCGCGTCGTTAACCCCTGATCGTCGCTGCACGTCGCTTCTTTCAACCCTTATATAGGGGTTCTAACCCCCAAACGATGATACTTCGTTGCCGGGCTACGTTTGTAACTTGGAACTCACGTTTGAAGCTTAATTTCTTAGTAATTCGAATAAGTAAAACCGCTGTTTCTTAGCGCGCTTCTTTATGGATCTCGTAATTATTATTAACGAAATTTGTGCGTCCGAAAATCTTGCGAAATTGCGTCGACTTGGCGCCGAGTTTTTTCGCTTAGGTTGACAGTTCGCGTCGACCGGCGACGCGATATCGCTCGAGAGTTTTGATACACTTATTATCTACGTCTTTTACCTCGCGGATCATAGTCTACTAATTTACAGCTGTTATCTGCGAGATTGCTAGGCTTCCGCGCTCGCCGGGCGACCGGCTGTTTAGACGACAGAATAAATTCCGAGGTGCTAAGATCGTCCGGGGAAAAAAGATAATAGTTTATGATTCAGCTAAGTCATCTCGGAAGTTCGCGATTGGTTTCTAGTCGATTCGGTATGGAAGTTATGTTGAACGAGCGAAAGGGAAAAAATTCATTACTAATTTATAAGAGCGAGAGGTGTGAACGACGACATTTGAGCCGTTTATTTTGAAAGTGGCATAAGTCACTTTGTTTTGAAGTCGATATATTTAAGGGTTTGCGTTTGAACACGTTTAAATATATGGATGCTAACTTTCGAGAAGATTTACTTGTATTTGTTATCTCAGGATACTGATATTTTTCTCAGTATAAATAATTTCGTATAAACATTAAAAAATCACCACTTTTCACACTACGGTAAAGTGACTTATGCCACTTTCAAAATAAACGGCTCGTTTATAACAGTTCTGCAGGGACGAGAATCGAAATTCGTTCCAGCAGAGGAAAGGATGCTAGGAGACAGAGTTTCCGACACGTTTTTGCGCGCGGTTATGTTTATTTCAGCAATTCGACTTTGAATTATCACCTTGTCAAGGCCGACGGGTTGGTTCGTCGCAGAACGAAACGACGGACGACGATAATTCAGAAAAATCGTGAATCATTCGTCGAGACCCGCTCGATTGTCCAACGTTAAGACCGTTTTCTTTTTTGTCGCGTTTAATTGGCATCGTTAACGAACCCAGGAAAACCGGCTCGCTTCTTTGAAATTTCACGAGGACGTTCCGAAATTTTGTGCATAAGGGAAAGCAAATGTGACGGAAAATATTCCGGACGAATCAGCGATCCTATTTAAGCCTTTCGGATCGTCTTCGGGCCAATCCCGGGCGTCTGGTAACCCTTGCACCGACCGCGCATGAGAACGGCGAAGCGTCGCGGAGCACGTAATTCAGACGCACAATCACGGAGTTATTATGTGAAGCCACGTTTCCACGTGGCCAACGCTTAATGCGGACCACGCTCGGGAAGAGAGCTCGCTCGCTTCCCGACGCGCTCATTCCGCACCCTAACTTCCTCGTCGCACCCCCCGCCGACTGCAAATGCGCACGTTGGAACGATTCGCGTCGCAGGATCGCGCGGAAATCGTTCGATTTCAGCGTCGAAACCGTTTCTACGATCAGCGAAAATCACGTTGTTAAAACGTTGCGTCTATTTCTGTCGTTCCAGGTGGTCGAGCCGTTCCCTCGATAACGAGATAAGTCCGTCCCGAGAGATAAACGATTTGAATCATGGTGGAGCACGGCAAGCGGGACCATCACGTCGGCGCGACGAACAATGGCACCGAGGGGTGAGCCACTTCGATCGAACACGATTTTCCTCTCGTTTTCGTTCCTAATGCTAGATCAAATCTGACTACACGCTGTCCCGAATTTTGGGACCCATGGACGGCAGTAAAATCACTAGCGAACAACCTTGAAGCCTCGTTGCTAATCGTTCCTCGAAGTTCTTCGAGCAAAGTGCAAATTGCCTGCATCGATTGCGAGATGCAGAACTCGATAATTGAAGAATATTTTTGAGTAATTTTTGAAAACGGAGTAATTTTTTCTAAATTTGTGCGCAAACATTGCGATTGGCTGAAAAAAAGACGTGAAAATTGTGCATTCTAATCTTTTTTATCCGATTCTAGAACGAAAAATGTATACAGTAGGTCTTTTTTTAGTAATCTTGTAATTAGATTACTAAATGCGGATTTTTATGCAAAATAAAAATTGTTCGCGTCAATTGTAAGAAACAGGAGCCAAATAGTTATCATCTTAACCCTTTGCCGTACCATTTTGTTCATAGTTACAATGATTGGAAGCTTTTCGATTGCAATAATTCCTAAAAAGAGAGAAGATCATTTATATTTATTATGTGTTTTAAACATTTACTTAAATGTTTAGATACCGACGACAAGGTATCAGAATTTTATTCAGACTGAAGAAAACGGAATAGCATTATAAATATGTTAATAATATTAATATTTATCGGGTTATTTGTGTCGGACTCGTCAAAGTATGGCAAAGGGGTTGATAGATTAAAACTAATAAATCGACGTTTTAAACTGCTTTCGACCGTTGCGTCATTTTAAATTCCAACTACTCAATTTTTCCACAAATGTTTGCAATCAATCTGTAACAAGATCGATAAACTGCATCCCTGAAATTTTCGTTCGCAGCTAAAAAAGTTACAAGGCGTAACTATTCACTTCATTTCGTTCGTCAAGTTTTCGCCCAGCGAATGTCGCGCAGCGCAGCTTTGTAAAAACCGCGGTGCAAAACGAACACAACATTTTCGAAGGATGAGCAACCGAGATTGCTTGGACATGTAAGGCTATGTTTTATGCGAACCCGCGACGACCGACACGGCGGAACAAGTTCCTCGAAGGCATCCCGTTTTCGTCGCATCGACGCGCGAGCGCAGGAAAACCGGCGGGCACATGCGACGCGGATGATCTATGGACGGCGATGGCCTCGTGGCTCTATGCACCGAGTGAGAGCCATATTCGTGATAAAACTTTTAATAAGTCTCAATGACTTCCTCCACTTCTCCGAGGCCCTGGCGCGGCCGGTCGCAGGTGTGGCATTGACAGTGAATCGATATCTGCGTCCACGCCCGTAACAAATCGGTCCCGTTGTCGAAAAATATAAGCTCTCCGGAGTGTTTTCGTTCGAAATCTAGCAGCCTTGACCAAAGTGTCCGAAGATAAAGCCCGATCGAGCGCCGGATAAACGAGACGATAAGAGCGGGGCCGCGCGCGTTTCCGCGGCTCGTCGATGCTGCCCGACGGACTTTGATCTATGCAGAATATTATTCATCGTGGATCATCGTTTACTCGGCTATGTACACCTGATTCGCGCGACTACGGACGGACAGCTGCGGCTCGTTCCGTGACGATCCTGCATCGTCCGACGATGATCTTTTATTTATCGACGCGCCGGATAAATATTCACTGCAGAGATGATTCTCGGTCTAAAGCGATTCTACGGAAACGTCGCGATTCGATCGATGGAAATATGTTGGCAAACGTTTCAGAGATTTCGATTTTAACCGGAATACAAGGAAGCGCGATGATTCGTTTTCACTGCGAACTGGATTTCAAAGTGGCAGGGAATGCAGTAATTCTCTGTAATTGACGCTCAGATTGTGCCGAAAAATGGACAATTTGAGAAGAGATCGTGCGATTATTCGAGCCATGCGGCTCGTTTTTATAGTTTTCGACAATTCGTAATTATAAAAATGAACCGCGAGGCTCGAATAATCATAGCTTTTCTTCCCAAATTGTCCATTTTTGTGGACAATTTGAGTGACAATTAGAGAGACATTACTGTACAATAAAGTCTCCCTAATCGACGCTTCAGATTGTGCCGAAAAATGAACAATTTGAGAAGAAAACATGGCGATTATTCGAGCCTTGCAGCTCGTTTTTATAGTTATTGAAAATTCGTAATTATAAAAATGAACCGCAAGGATCGAATAATGGTATCTCCTCTTCCTAAATTGTCCATTTTTGTGGACAATTTGAGTGACAATTAGAGAGACATTACTGTACAATAAAGTCTCCCTAATCGACGCTTCAGATTGTGCCGAAAAATGGACACTTCGAGAAGAGAACATGCCGATTATTCGGGCCATGCGGCTCGTTTTTATGGTCGTTGACAATCGTTAACTATAAAAACCAGCCGCGAACAATCGTGTCTCCTCTTCTCGTATCGTCCATTTTCGTTCCCAAGCTGAGCGTCAATTAGGGAGAATTTGCCGTACATTCGGTTTCGAAACGACTTCGAAATGGACTCCAGGAGGAAGCTGATCTTCGTTTCCGCTCTAAAAATTTATTGAAATAAGAACCATCTCGCTCAGAGTAAGTTACAGAGCGTTATCGGAATTGCCGAGCAACAGTCACCGCGCTCGGACTTTGCGCTTCTGGTTGTATAAGCGACCTTTATTCCGGCCAGCTCCGCGCGGCATCTCCCGATATCTCGCTCGCAGCTGTATCGCCGGTATTTTATAAACGACGTGCATAATATTCGAAAGATCAGGCAAAGATTTTTGCGCGATCCGCTCGCGGTATCTGTCCTTGTGTAAACACCGGTCGCACGCCACGCGCACACTTCGACGCCGGATCGGCTATCTCGCGGCTATTATCGATGCGTTATGTCATGTTCGAGCATCGGGTTTCGCGATTGCTTTGCCTCGACTCGCGGCACGCGCTGCTCGGTTCGTTCTATTCGATTCTCCTCCTGCTGAAAATGTCATTGCCGCACGTTTAAATGATCTACCGAATTCACGGCAATGCGAATGAAACGCGTTGTGTTCGAACACGGTGCGATTTACGGCGTCGACGTTGACCACGTGGACACGGGCACGTGCGGGGAACCAGTTCGATGCATACTGACGACCAGGCGAAGTGTCTTTGCAGCTGCGTTCGGCAACGCGATGCAATTTTCAACTCAAACGAAACAACGTCTTTTTACGGGCTGCTCGAAAAGTTGTAGAAACGTCGCTGGCACGGTTCGATTTTCACGTGAAAAGTAGACTCCGGTGCGCGTCGAATCTAAAGCGAAATTTTCGAGTTTGTTCAAAATTAATGGAAATTGAATCGTCGGTACTTCGGTCTGCAAATTATGCGTCGGTGTAAAAATAAATTGCAGCGTCTCTGGTGCTATCATCAACTATCACAACTACTGGAATCGTCCTAATTATATTTTCTTATATTTCCTTATATTTTCTTATATTTTCTTTCGTTATGTTTTCTTCATAAATTGCAGTATTTTAATCTATACTTTATTTGCACCGTGTTAATGATTCTTTTGATAACCGATATTTCGAACGCATTAATTAACCTAATATTTTTTTTTAGAAGGAACACAAAGACGGATTGTCGAAAAAGAGAATCGCAATTTCATTGAAAAGATTAACGTGATTTTTAACGCTAAACTCACCGTGACGGTCATTTTGACGGGTTTCGCATTTTTTATTTCAAGATCGTCGACGTTGCAAAGACTCTCTTTTATTGGAAACGATTAAACAGGTCTCCAATCATTGAGTAGATCTATTCGAACATTTACGTACATCGCAAAAAAAAAATAATTGATGAAACATGAATTCAGTCTTGTCGTTTTTTATAGAACAGTCGATCGCTTCTCGTGCATCTGTGCTGTTAATTTTTAATCGTAATTTTTAACACGAGTACGGATGCCGATCGGCGCTCACCCCGGACAATTACGAGATACCGTGGAATGTACATTTATGTAATGAGCCGATGCTTTTTTTCCCCGTGCGTGCGCGAGAGGAGACGTTACGCGTGGACAATGGCAATGAATTATAACGATGCGATGCAGCGTGCATACGTAACCGGTGGCAGAACCTCGACGTTTCGCCGCCGAACGGAAGTTCGAGCGACCGTCTCGAACAGTTTCGTGCGTTCTCTTGCGTACAGTAATGTCTCTCTAATTGACGCCCAGATTGACCACAAAAACGGACAATTTGGGAATAGGAGGTAACGATTATTCGAGCCTTGCGGATTATTATTATAGTTATAAATTGTCCACAACTATAAAAACGAGCTGCAAGGCTCGAATAATCGCCACGTTCTTTTCTCAAATTGTCCATTTTTCGGCACAATCTCAAGCGTCAATTAGGGAGACTTTATTGTAGAGTAATGACACTCTAATTGACGCTCAGATTGTCCACAAAAATGGACAATTTGGGACGAGAAGATACCTGTCTCTTATACACATCTAGATGTGTATAAGAGACAGGTATCTTCTCGTCCCAAATTGTCCATTTTTCGGCACAATCTCAAGCGTCAATTAGGGAGACTTTATTGTACAGTAATGTCTCTGCCTCTTATACACATCTAGATGTGTATAAGAGACAGATTTATAACTATAATAATAATCCGCAAGGCTCGAATAATCGCCACGTTCTTTTCTCAAATTGCCCATTTTTCGGCACAATCTCAAGCGTCAATTAGGGAGACTTTATTGTACAGTAATGTCTCTGCCTCTTATACACATCTAGATGTGTATAAGAGACAGATTTATAACTATAATAATAATCCGCAAGGCTCGAATAATCGCCACGTTCTTTTCTCAAATTGCCCATTTTTCGGCACAATCTCAAGCGTCAATTAGGGAGACTTTATTGTACAGTAATGTCTCTCTAATTGACGCCCAGATTGACCAGAAAAACGGACAATTTGGGAAGAGGAGATACGATTATTCGTGCCTTGCGGTTTATTTCTACAGTTATAAACTGTCCACAATTATAAAAATGAGCCTCGAGGCCAAGGCTCGAATAATCGTG